CCATATAAATGAAGCCGCTACTATCAGAGAAAAACAAACTCCGTCTGACAAGCCATAGGCGTGGGAATGGGAAGCTACAAAATCGGCGGGCGGTTCGATCCACAACAGCCATAGCATGCGCGTACATGCCACCTGTTGGCTACACGTTAAGTAAACATTAACATGATTTGGCTCTTACTCTCCAATTTCTCAAGAAATGTTGATTGGTAAGCCAGTGATATACAATACAGAGTCGTATTTATGAATCTCTTTTTGGACTAGTTTATGCTTCGAGTGCTTGTATACATGGATTGTCTACCAAGGTATCTTGTTATTGTTTTTTTTTAATTTTTATACTGGGATGGCTTTCACAGGGACTAAGTCACCAAGGGTCCTATTACTAATCCTAACTGACCTTACCTATGTAAACTATTCCTTGATTTTTTTGTGAAAAATATTTTAATCATTATTGATCTAATTATTGTGGCTAACATTATCATGTTAGTAATGATATTACCAACGATAATGTAAAAGTTTAGATTAACAGTAATTGAAAAAAATATATATATTGAGGAATGGGATAAATAGCTTATGTCAGGTAAGCCTAATGATTGACTCCATGGGTGTGGAGCCATCTATTTGTTCCAAAAAGTTGTGTTGGCTAATGCATTTTAGAGTCATGTACTCTACTTCATTTTCCATATAACAGATCATCAACACAGGAATAGGTCCTTACCCTGACATGCCAATATATAGATCTTTTCCTGCTGCTGGGGAATACCATTTAATTTTGGGTGCCTTGACCCCATTTTCTGTCTTGTCCCATTCTAACAGATCCTCTCCCCCTCATCCTCTAACAGGAACGCATCAACATGGACCCACTGACCTACAACGAAGTGCGAACCCGTCCTTCCCTCGAGGAGCGTTTAGAGTCCATCATCAGTGGGGCAGCGCTCATGGCAGACTCATTCTGCACAAGGGACGACAGGAGGCTCAAGATTGTCGAGGAATGCAACGCTGTGAGACAGGCTCTGCAGGACCTTCTGACAGAATATATGGATAATGTGAGTATAGGGATGCACTGGTGATTTCAAGATATTTTATGTCTCCCACCCTAGGTGTTGGTAAGTTATCTGCTGTTTAATGGCTCCCACGGCATTGTCTTTGGATTCTGAGAATGCATTACCTTCTGCTTTTTAATCTCTCACTGTTAATTGACTTTTGTTGTAGTTCTGGTATGGTTAGTTTTTCTTCTGAGCATTTTAGATATCTCGCAATTGTGATAAGATATGAGATAGGGATTTTTGCCTTTTTGGTGTTTTAATGGATTGATTACTCCTTTGTGATACAGATGAAATTGATTTTTGTTTGAAATTTACTACCTTTTTGGTAAAAATGTTTCAGCCATGTTCATATATTTACAATATATGATATAATAAGAACATTTTAAAGACAAATACAAGATTTCCAAAAATATTTTCCAATCAATGTTGCATTTGGAGATCAGGTATGGGAAAACAAACACAGCCATAATAAAAAAGAAGTCAGTTCATGTGAATGTTTTTCAACTTCACATATGTATCAACTTTTTATTTACCAGAGAAATGAGTTCAGCACATTTCAGATCTTACATTATACCTCCCCTCCTTCAGATGGGACGCAAACAGCCCTCGGAAAATCTGGACAAGGCAATTGATCACATGTATCGCAAGACCAAGGACCTCAGACGTCAACTGCGTAAAGCTGTAGTTGATCATGTTTCAGATAGGTTGGTATATTATTGGTATTTACTTGATATTTATTTTCTTTTTATTTGTAATTGGTGAGTGTCAAAGTGGATAGTAGATGTGAATATCAGATTTTATCAAGAGTTGGTCAGACATTTTTAATCTAATTTTTTTGTCTTTGTCTTTTTTAAAAAGTATATGAGAGATATAATTTGTCAATTTGTCTTTTATATCTGTATATTTTGTACCTCTCTGAATGTTCATGTCTGTAACTAAAAGTTAGCTGTCAGTTTGGTGTATGCTTATTTAGTGATAATTCAATTTTTATTTGATTCTCAGGTCTAATATATAATATTTTTATTGTGTTTTTTACTTGTCCATTACAGTATATCACCTAAGTTTTATTTAACTTAGATAGCTGTGTGTACAGAGGAACTTGTCAGTATGTGAGTCTGAATAACTTGCTTTTGAATTCCAGTTTCTTAGAGACAAATGTACCACTGCTAGTTTTAGTTGAAGCTGCAAGGAATGGCAACGAGAAGGAAGTGGAGGAGTACGCACAGGTGAGTGGATAGCAGACCTCTTGTGGGGTTGAAGACTGGAAAACGGGGATTGGCGGACTAACTGACTGTTGATGAAAATGGATGAATGCAAATATATTTATCATGTCTCAGTGTTAATGCTTAAATATGTGGATATCAGAGTACTGTATTAGTATATTTGTAATTTGATAAGCTTGAATTGTACTCTTCTACATTCACCTATTTCCTTGGTGAAACTTATCTATACTATAAATTTATCTTTCATTCTCTCTTGTCTTTTAGGTCTTTACTGAACATGCAAACAAATTGGTGGAAGTTGCAAACTTGGCCTGCACCATGTCCAACAATGAGGATGGTGTGAAGATGGTGCGCTATGGTGCAGCGCAGATAGAACACCTCTGCCCTCAGGTCATCAATGCTGCGCGTATTCTGGCGGCACGGCCCAAATCCAAGGTAGGTTTCTTGTGAATATGAGGAATTTCTTCAAGAAATTGTGAAAGAAGTAATGCTCTTTGTCTGTGATATTTTTATTTACTGTTTGGTATTATCTCCTTGATAGGTTGCTCAGGAGAACATGGATGCCTTCAAGGATGCCTGGGAGAACCAAGTGCGCATCCTTACAGAGTCTGTGGATGACATCACAACCATTGATGACTTCCTCGCTGTTTCAGGTAAGTGTATTTTTGTGTCTGGTATTACTGTGTAATACTTTTATTGGGTGGAGATGTAAGTTTTTGGTATTACCCACGATTTAGTGCAAATGAAGTTTTCCTGAATTGTGTCTCTGAAAGTCTGGGATTTATATATGCATATATGATAAAAAAGGAAGTATTATCATTCTTGCATAAACCTTTACAGAGAGTCACATCTTAGAGGATGTGAAGACATGCGTACGAGCCATCAACGAAGGTGATCCTGACACTCTAGACCGTATTGCTGGTGCTATTCGAGGCCGGTCTGCCCGTGTGTGCCATGTGGTTGCAGCGGAAATGGATAACTATGAGCCTTGCATGTACACTGACCGAGTTTTGGAGGCAGTGAAGGTTTTGAGAGACCAGGGTAAGTCCATAGATTAGATTGATGTTATATGAGAGGTGGTATTAAGTGTTTAACCCACCCGTGACGGGGTACATTTTGTAGCCAAAATTTAAAAAATCCGGGAAGCTACAAAATCGGCGGGCGGAGCTTCCCCGGAGTCTGTCCGGCCGCCCGGCGCTTTTGCCGCGGAGCACGGCTCCGAGACAGCATCGCATTGGCGGGCAGCCCGAAACTGTTTATTTTTTCCCTGTGTCTCATATATGTGACACCCGGGACGAATGGGTTAAGAAATTTTCTGGGTGTTATTGTTTGTGCTTAGGTTTCTTCTACAAAAAAGGTTGTTTTGTATTTATAAAGTCTTTTGCTTATTCATCATCATTGTTTTCCATCTTGTGCCACTGGGGAGAGAGATAAGATTGGCACGTTCTATTGCAAATATAATAAGAAATGTATTTTATAAATTGAATATCATTCTTACAAGTTCTACTTGTCATTATTTCCCTAACCCAGTGGCAGTAAGAAAAAGGAAAGGCTAAATGGGCCATAATGCATATTGTTTTCCCATTTGTGCCTATCTCGTTAGGCTTTCAACCACCACTTTTATCACATAATTGTCCTTAGCTGGTATTTATTAGCGAATGTTAAAAAAGGCTTTTGGTACCTGTAGCCGATTATGGCACCAGAAAAATGATACTGCCACTTTAAAGAAAAAGACAAGCTGATGGCAAGGGCTATGTCATTATTCTGTCCAGTTCTGTCATGACGTGATAAGATACCATCTGTGATCAATGGGTTTAATATCTTAATTCTCATTATTCATTTGTTTATTCTGATTGCTCTTTCTTTTTTTGACACTTATTATATTACCTCTGACCTTACAAATTATTTTTCAGTGCTGCCAAACTTTGCCCAGAGAGTGGACGTGGCAGTTGAAGTCCTAAGCAGCACACCAGGCAAAGAGGTGGATGAGAATGAGTTCATTGATGCCTCGCACTTGGTGTATGACGGTGTGCGAGAGATCCGCATGGCTGTGCTGATGAATAAGGCTGATGACGAGTTAGATCCGGATGATGTGCTGATGGATGAGTACCATACTTTGGAGATCAGGAGCAAGTGTGAGTATTATGTTTTTTAATTAGAGGTGGCATTGTGCATCTGTATGTTTTTTTATATATATATTTTACTGTTGCAATTATTGGTTTTATTGAGAATTGGCATAGTATTCAGACATTTTATTTGTAATATGTCTAGTTGATATATATTGGTAATATATCTATATTACTAAGTTTATGAAAATTTATAAACTACAGAAAATTATTATGGAGCTTTACACCTACATCAAATCAGCTCTGTAATTCAGTTGGCTTCACCTCTTCAAAAAAAAAAAAAAAAAAAAAAAAAATTATATTGGTAGTATAAAGAACTTTTCAGTTCTGATGCAGTTTTATTGCTAAGAGTTTGTTTAGTCAGTTAATTAAATTCTAAATGGTCTCAATCCAATCTAGCGAGTGCACACACTGTGGACACAACCATCGATGAGTACCCGGGTGTAAGTGGCATCACGACAGCCAGAGACGCCATGAGGAACCTTAGTGAGGAGGACAAGGACAAGATTGCCCAACAGGTGGAGAACTTCAGGTTGGAGAAGGTCAAGTTCGACCAGGAGGTAGCCAAGTGGGACGACACAGGCAACGACATCATTGTCCTGGCCAAGCACATGTGCATGATTATGATGGAGATGACAGATTTTACCAGGTAGGTTTGAGGAAAGGGAGTTTTGGATGAGATATGATTGATTTTCATTGTGTTCTGAGGCAGTACTGGTTATTAGAAGACTTTAAAATTCTCCCCCTCCTGTTGTATTATTATTTATTTGAATAAGTGGTTGATTTACACAGTATATGAGATGCACTTTGTATATTGTTGGGAGGAACTTAGATTATATATATCTATATCAATCTATCTATCTATCTATCTGTCTATCTATATATATATATATAGGTAGATAGATAGATAGATAAATAGATCATTATATATATATATATATATAATATATATATATATTAATATATATATATTATATATTATATATTATATATATATATATACATATATATATATATATATATATATATATATATATATTATAATATATATATATATATATATTATATATTATATATTATATATATAATATATATATAAATATATATATATATAATTATATATATATATATATATATATATAAATATTATATATTATATATTATATATTATATATACATATAATATATATATATATAATATATATAATATAATATATATATATATATATATTATTTATTTATTTATTTATTTATTTATTTTTCTTTTTATTATTTATTTTTTTAAATTATTATTTTTTATTATTATTTTTTACTTTTACTTTTACTCTTACTTTTACTTTTACTTTTCATAATGCAAGTCATTAAAGGCTGGTATCAAATATCGAAAACTTTCTTTATAAAGTGATCATTTGATGCAAATAAATTCTCTGTTTTCTTGCACCACAGGGTCGAGGGCCACTCAAGACCACCATGGATGTGATCAATGCTGCGAAGAAGATTTCAGAGGCAGGCACAAAGTTGGACAAGCTCTCCCGGCAAATTGCCGACCAGTGCCCCGAGTCGCGCACCAAGGATGACATGTTGGCATACCTTGACCGCATTGCCCTTTACTGTCACCAGCTGAACATCACCTCTAAGGTCAAGGCAGATGTGCAGAACATCTCTGGAGAGCTGATTGTGTCTGGGGTACGTATAAAATGAGAAGAGTGAGCAGTGAGGGTATGAATGGGTATTAAATAATGGACATTGAAGTGATCATTAACCCCAAGCGGCTGGGCATGGCATGTACGTACGTGCCATTGCCCATTGTTGTGTTGAATTAGTAATTGTTTTTAATGTAGTTGGCTCCACAAGTACTGTCACCAATGTGCAAACTTCCTGTCTAACCTGTTTATCCCTTTCATTGAAATTTGATATTTTCTAATTTTCAATATTGCTGTTAGTAATGTCAGTAACAATATAGTAATTATAATGTTTATAACAAACATAACAAAGTCAATATTGATAGCAATAGTAAAAAAAAGCTTTATCCCGCTTTTTCAAGGAGAAGAAGAGGTCACAAGATCTAATTGACTCCTTTGTGGCTAAGCATTGACAGAGCCATCTATGTGTAGAAACATTTAACCAAGTATTGCCAAAGGGAACACACTATTTTTCCGTCGACATTGTGTTAACCCACTCACGCCGGGTACATTTGTAGCCAAAATAAAAAAATTCCGGGCGCTACAAAATCGGGGGCGGAGCTTCCCCTGAGTCTGTCCGCCCGCCGGCCGCGCCGCTGCTGCTCGAGCACAGCCCCGATACAGCGTCACACTGGCGGGACGCCCGGCAATGTTTATTTTTTCGGGTGTCTCATTTACGTGACACCTGGCAGGATTGGGTTAAAATGTATAGTAAAATGTGGAGAAGTTGAAATAGTGAACTGATCAGATATTATTCAATCAAATTTATATATAAGAAGTTGATATGGAATAAAGATATGATATTACATTAAAGAAGCAGTTTACTTCTTCATTGTATTTCTTTGGGAGGACACTGAGTTTGTAGATAATGAGTTTGTTTGTGATGTGAATGTATTGATTTTGCTTTATTTTGGATATGAATGTCTTTTTAATCTCCTGTCTCTTACTGTGGAGTTCCTTGCAGCATGGAGGATAGGAATCAAGATTAAGTTTTACCTTTAAGAGTTAGGAGTCACTGGTACAAGGGTTACTTCTTCCAAGTAAACATCTTCAAGTCATGTTAGGATAGGAAAGTTAGGAAGAGCATCCACTTGGAAAAGCAGTTTCTGTTTGGCAAACAAAGTCCTTTTAAAGAAGGCACCATCGCAGTCCTTGCCAGCATTGGAGTTCACAGTACAAAACTGATAATTCTATTTAGACCATGATTTATCTCATTAAATCTAATGTGGTTGGGAATGTTTCTTGTTTATCCATAGAATACGTTTTAAGCATTTCATGTGTTTTAAGTCTCTTTTACTTCCTCCTGCAGCTGGACTCAGCCACCTCCCTCATCCAAGCAGCGAAGAACCTCATGAATGCCGTGGTCCTTACTGTCAAATGCTCCTATGTGGCCTCCACCAAATACCCACGTCAGGGAACCATCGCAGTAAGTATCGGTTTGGACTTTTAAAATGATACATTCTCCCCCACATTACTATTTTATTTTTGTTTTAATTTTAGGGGACTTTGTGTGTATTTTTTATATACATTTTTATTATTCACCTATCGATTTGAATATTTACCTTCACAAAGAGAAATTTTAAAAAGAAGAAAAAAAGGAACCATTCCTAATGGGAGAGAAAGAAAAGACAAAAAAGAAAAATAGTTACATAACATATGAACTTTCCTTGACAGCCTACCCACCCTGTGAGTATAAAATATGTCTGTATTCCTTATCTCAGATTTTTTCGTTTTTTTTCATTTGATATTCAGTTTTGTTTTTTGGTAATGGATGGAAGCATCAACACAACCAAAGTAAAAAGTGTTGTGATTTGACTTAGACACTTTGGCTTGGTGGGTCCCTAATTTTGAATGTTTTTGTTTATTTATTTGTTTTTGATTTTTCAACATCCAAAGCTTAAGAGATATATTATTTAATTGGAGTGGCTGCAGCTACCATTGCTATGACAGTTAGAGAAGTTGTTATTATTAGTGATAGTATTATTATGATTTTATTTTATTGATAGTGTTACTGAGAATTAGTTTTGCAAGTCTGTGGCTGGTTGTGCAAAATGGGCCAGAAAAGAATGAATAGAAGCAAGGAAAACTAGCATTTAGGATCAGTGTTTGAAACCTTTGTTATAATCACTAACTAATTATCATATAAGTTATCATGGGTTCTTGTGGCAGATAGGTTGACGAAAATTAAATTGTGATATTTTACAAGTCTGTTTCTTTGTGTTTGCATTACATTGATTGAGATATATCAAATTAGACCAATTTAGCAAGATGCAGCAACCCTGTCTTTGATTGGCACGTCTTCACAAAACTGTAAAATCTCTTAATGCACCCAAGATTTATTTCAGGAGACAAATGAGAAAAAAAAAAATTGTATATATAGATTTCTTTACAGAAAGATTGGTAAATGATATTTAGAAAAGTTATGCTCTTTGAGCTAGAGATTTAAAGGGGTCTTTATTTTTTATATTGTGTTGCATTGTCTATGTGAAATGAATGGAAGGTTTGATAACACTGTAAAAAAGTTTAAATTTCAGGTTTAACAGTCATTTCTGATTTGGTTGTTTATTTTTTCTTTTTTTTTTCAAAAATTATTATTAGTTACGTAGAGAAAAGGTGCCTAAAGAAATTTTACTTGGTTTTGATTTTTTTTTTTTTTTTTTTTTTTTGTTTCTCATTCTAAAACTTTTAAGACAAAAACAAAGTAAGTGAATGGACAATATTGAATTAAAATTTGAACAGATAAATCTGAACAACAACAAAACAACAGCAACAACAACAAACAGCAACAACAGCAATTTTCTCTTGTGTTGTGTCACGCCCAGATTGGCCCCTATAACGTAATGACGTGGTAACGCACTAATCTGTTTTGCTGCTGCAGTAGCATTTAGGAGCCGATGCCTCATGATGTTGGGTAATTAGTTGGTGCGGATTTTGCTCTATTCTCTTTGTGCTGTTCTTTCCTTTGTGTTGGATGATGGATGTTGTAGGTAGAGAGAATTCCTTTTATATTATAATTGTTTTTAAAAAAAATTCTCGATCCAAAGTCCTCACAAGAACTCCCCTTTGGCACACATACAACCCCTTGGTGTGAGCAAGTAATTGTGGAACGGCACTTTTGTATTTGATTGTTTTATTTATTTACTTATTTTTTTCCTTTTTGCTGTTGGAGTTTTGGAAATGTTAATTCATCTAGGACTTTTAGTGGGCAGGATATGGGTAATAATAGATAAATAAAGATAAGAAAAGATGGCAAATGTAAGGTCAGGTATTAATTTGACCAAAATTTTTTGTACATTTTGTTTGGTATTTTGTAAAGAAATTGGTGTGTTTGTTTAGGATCCAAATTTGTAGGGAAGTAAATTTAAGATTAAGTAAAGATTATAATTGCCTTTTGAGAACTAAAAGACAGTATATATACCCTTTTGAGAAATACTGTGTTGGCTGTTTGTAGATCCAATGAATGTCTCCAAGTCAGTGCTTTGGAGGCTTTCAGCTTCGTTCATCATTATTTCAATAATTTCCCTGGTCGTCATATTTGCAAATGGTTTTAGTTTCATTTTCCAGTTGCTTTTATAGTGAAAAGAACTTAAGATAAAAGTGAAAAAGAAGACTCTTTAGTTCCATATACACAGAATGATCAGATATGATTTGCTTGCCTAGATGTGAGAAATCTTGATGTTTGGTAAATACATTTTTTCTGCCCAGGTGTCCATACTAATAGTTAGACTTACTGCCTAGTGTATTTATTTATTCATTGATTTATTTTGTTGTTCTCTCCTCTCGGATGTTAGTGCTTAAGGTTTCATGTTTGCCTAATGAGCTGAGAATTTATTTGACAATTTTTTTTCAGTGTTTACTGTGTCAAAAAAAACAAAAACAAAAAAAACACTGACTTAAGACACAGTGTCAGATGCACTGGTAAAGTA